ATTTGTATTATATGACAAAAGGTGCAATAATAAATAAAAGTTTCATAAGGCTTATTGCATAAATTCCCGTTAACTGTGAACCGTTAGCCGTTAAGAGTGATAAGGTCCGTCGCTATGGTCCCATAAAGCCAGATTGTGTGTTAAATAATACATATAACGTATACGCAAACGGCAAAAAGACAGAGTGACGAAAAAGCAAAAGATTAAGTGTATTCCCTTAACTGCCATTTTCAACTCACTTCCCGATGTCGTTCACTTTCCCGAGACTCCAATTTTATCATCAACAACAACAACAACAGCAAGAGCAACATTTACAACAATAACAACAACTTCAACAACAACAACACCTATAAGGACAAGCGAAATCGGAAGGATAAGGAGTTAATTGAGAGACAAGCGAATCAGCTTGAAAGGCGACATCAAAGCCACGCTGATGATGGGCTACATCATGGGTTGTGCTTGTTTCAAAGGTAGGAAAAAGCATTCAAGAACTGCGTGTGAATTTTAGTAAAGAATGTACTAAAAAAAATTAAAATAAAGTTAGGAAGTTTTAAAGAAGTTATTAGAAAGAAATTATAGAATACTTTGAACACCATTATAGGCGATTTTCAATAATTATAATCTTTTATATTTTACTTCAGGAAATTTATAATATTTTTAGGGAAAACATTCAATACTTTTTTCTCAGTGTACATGTGTGTGTCTGAATAGGATGTGTAGATGGTACATGAGTGTCAAAGGCATGCAAATGCCAAGTGGAATCCGAAACGTTTGGTAACCTTCTGGCATTTTTTAAGGATAATCCTGGGTATTTTCGTTTTTAAGAAATTAATTTGTCTTTTAAAAATTTAATTTAAAAATATTATTAATACATTTATTACGAAAAGGTGACCTGAAGTATAAAATTAAATTGTTTTCCTTGTGTCCGTAATCTTTCCTAAACAATTCAAGTTGTAAAAGTTGCAGCTTAATTGAAAAATAGTTCTAGTTAAGTTTCTTTCATTCAAGTTTTTATTAAAGTTTTAAATAAGGTTTTTGCCTTACAGTATTTCCCAGTCGATCCACCATTCCCTAGACCACCCACGATTTTTCTCCCGCAGTTTTTCCTCACCTCAGACGTTCGGTTTTTCCTTCCGCTCATTAGGCGTCACTCGAAGAAAATCTCGGAACGACAAGCGCAGCTCGAGGCTTTTCCTTTGTCATGCTTTTTTCGGGTTTTTGTTGTGTCTTGCTTTTACACGCATTTTCGCATTTTTCTATGCAACGTCACCGACGGCATCGACGTCACACAAAGCGGAAATGAGAGCCTGCGCTGTGCATCCTGCGCGCTGGCTCTCTTGTTTTGCTCTCACACTCTCTCTGTATCCTTTTGCTATAAAAATGCTCTTAAATTTAGTTAACATTGACTTAACAGGTATTTAACATCTTTTTAAACATTTCTTTACACATTTAATTTAACATTTATTGTAACATTTTGTATGACATTTTTCTAGTCTTATTTGTGTGTGTTTTTCGGTGTTTTTCCTGATTTCCCGCTGCTTTTCTGCTGTGTCCCTGTGTGCAAATTACTCGATAGTCTTTTTGAGTGCAATTTGATTTTTATGTTGGCCATGTTTTTTTTTGCAGCTCAAGTCCAATGTTTGTGGATTTTTGGTTGGTATAATGATTTAGTCCTTCAGTTTGTTTATCTGCTAGGGCTTTTGGGTTATAGGTATAGGTATAGGTATACTATATATAAGAAGGATATAACGTATACGAGGTGGTGGCCAGGACTTGTTTAGTTTGTAGGTAAAGTGCACTACTTGTTTAGATTGCGGCAAATGCTTCTCTGTTTATCCTGATTGTCAGTTGAGGTTGAGCTGCAATTTATTTCATGGTTGATTGGTTGTTAGTTGGATTTTTTAAACCTTAAAATAATATATAATTAAATAAACAAGGGATTGTAAAAAAAATAAATATTTGTTTAAGAGTTCAAGTGTGAGTAAATATTTTCCCATTAAATTTCCTGCATATTTTCCTTACCAATCAATGTGTTTGAAAATATTTCTTCTTATTTGCAAAATTTAATGAACGTGTATTTTATTTTTAACACCTGGAATTTGGAATTCTTTTGTAAATTGTTGGCATACTCCAGCGTTTCGGTGAGCAGCAGACTTATTTCCTCTGACAGAGAATGCCTTTGGGCACTTAGCAGGAGCAGCCTCTTTCCTTATCCTTTAAACAGTCCTTCCAGGTTTACCACCCTCCCCCCTCCCCGGTAAGCTGACTCTTTGCTTTGCATTCCATAAGCCACAAAGTATGAGTAAGCACTTAACCCTTTTCTTTGCCCACTTTCTCCTGGCTTCACTGCATCTCCTGCTGGCGCTCCTGCATTCCTGGCACGCATTGCAGACCTAACCTTTCACATTTATGCGTTGCACACGCCCTTCTCTGCTGCTGCTCTGCTCTCCACTAGTTAGTTTTATTCAATTTTTGCGCTATTTTTACTGATGCAATTTTACAGCGGAAGCGAGGAAATCGAGACAGGGTTGCAAGGGGAGAAAGTGAGAGGAGATACATGTGCAAGTGTCTCTCTCTGTGAGTGTGTGTGTGTGTGTGTGTGTGAGAGAGAGAGGCTAGAAGAGGCTGCCTAAGTGCTTGGCCCATTAAAGTATGCAATCATTTTGCGGTTAGTTGCCCTTGTCCTCCTCCTTCTGCCTCTCCATGTTCACCCCTTTTTTTCCATCTTACAATTTCCTCTCAAGCTTCCTTCCCCCCTTTTCCTCCCCTCTCAGCAATTTCACCGCGTTTACGGCTGCATAAATTTCGCCACTGGCATTCGCCTTTAACCACTTTGCTAATCCATTCCAAAGGTCGCCAGTTCCTTGACAGGATTAACGGCTCCCAAGGTGTCCTTTCGCCTATTAACCGCGTTTTTCCGCTTATTTAGCCATAGCAAACATTTTAACAACCACCACTTTGAGTTTATAAGGTTGATAAATATTTGCTTTTTGGAGGAAGAAAATAATATTTGGTTATTTTAAAAATAGTTTTTAAGATTTCTAAGTTTAAGTAAAGGGAAAACCATATTAATATTGATAGTAAAAGGTGAACTGGGTGAAATATATATTCAATTTAACTTAAATACTTTTTTGTTTAATTAAATTATATTTAAGAAAACCTAAATTAATGCTTTTCAATATAAAAAACATTACTTTATATTTAATATTAATAAAATATAGTTCATCTAGTTACTTCTTTAACGCTTTTTCTGTGCTTTTTTATCTTTTAAAATAACTTTTATTTCATAATCATCATATCTTCCAAGCATAAACACAAGTTGAACATTTTGAAATGCGTTATTAATTGAATAAAAAATCTGTTTCATCTATGACATTTGTGCCATATATTTTCTGCTTTGCCGGTTGTGTGGGCCAAGTTCATTCATAAACAAATTAGTGGCATTCTGCTTCTGCTTCTTCGACTTCTGGTAGTATATGTATGTATCTGTGTGTGCCCCCACAATTAAATCGAAAACACAACGCTTTTGTCCCCCTCTAATACCCCGCGGAATTCTTAGTTCCCCTTGTCCCTCTCTCAGCTGGGTATAAATAAATAAATAAACAAGCGTTTAATTGAACCGGAAATTATTGTGTGTGGGTTGTGTGTGCCTGCTTCTTCTTCTTCAACATCTCGTGTGTATTTCTTATTGGTATTTGTTGTTCACTTTTATTTAGTTTTATTCTTTGCGTTTTAGCTCTTCAACTTGTTTGCCCAGTTGGTTTATCGGTTGGCCAAAGAGAAGGAAGATGTGAGGGTGGGATTATACAAGTTAGTAGGTTTGCTCGCATGTTTGTTGTCTCTTCTCCTTGGGGGAAATAAGAATATATATAAATATCTACATGCCTCTGATTAGTTTAGTTTTTTTGCAGCAACATATTTTCAGGGATTTAAGTTTGTAATGGGTTTATTTTTATTTTATTTTTGTGTGGCTTATTGAACTTTTTTGTGGGATTTGTATTGGAATTGAGCTTTTTAATTTAATATTAATTAGAATTCGTTTTTTCTTACATTTATAAAAACTTTTTATGACCATTTAAACAGCTCCTTAATTAAATTGAAATAAAAGTAACTATTTATGGGGTTATGACACAACCAATTTCTTTTGAAAGCAAATATAGCAATTTAAATGGGGAAACGAAATAAAAAAACTAACGACAGAATTTTGTTTTTCCCCAAATTTTTAAACAAATATAAATATCAGACTAAACTTAAAAAATATAAAGTAAATGTGACCATTAAATATCAAATGTAGTGTCATAATACCATAAAATTTAAAAAAAAATGTAAAAAATGTAAATAATATGATAAAAATATATATAAAATTAACATAATATTAATTAATTAAAAACTTATTAATTTTAATGTGACATTAAAAGCAACAATCTTGTGCCATAACACCATTAGGATATTTAGCCTTCAATGTTTGTACCTGTGAAAATCGTACTTTCAATAAGCTTAAATTAGGAAAAATGAAACATTTCAACCTTAACAACAATGCAGTGTCATCACACCATTAAGATATTTAACATTCAATATTTGTGCCATGGAAAATGGGGTTTCCCCCTGCTAAGTATGTCCCATTAATATGCAACCCCACGGCATTAGCGTGATTTTTTTTCGATTTGCATGTAGGGGGTGTGTGTAGTAGCTGTGTTTATTGCGAGTCTCATCGGTGTGTGTGTATTCTGTGTTTCTTTTTCAGCACTTTCTGGTAAATTACAGTTGACAGTCGTTGCATGTTCGACTTACGATACCCGACAGTTGCCATTTCCATTAATGGCTCCTGAGACACGCCCCCTGAAACTTGTTGATAAATTAAATATAATTTGACGGAATTTATTTGACTTGAGTCCAGACAATCTCCAAAGATAATCTAGCAGTTGAGCACCATAATTACTCTAATGTTTGAGCCTATAAAACATTCTGCTGATGGCTAAGACATGGTTAGTTTCTTAGAAATGTCTCGAACTGTGACTGCCTTTAATCAAACTGTTGTGGAATATTTTAGAAAAACCAGTCTCAATGGTTTCGGTCTGCTTTATTTTATACGAAGACGTAGAATTCAGAGAATATTTTGGTTTTTGTTTATCAGTTTTGGTATTATATTTGCCAGCTATGCGGTTTTTTCCATGATTCTGGAATTTCTTAGCTACTCAACTATAACAGATCTTTCAGAGGTTGAGGTTTTGGAGGAGGAACTAAAATTTCCTGAACTAGAAATATGCAGTGGTTACAGATTTAGTCGCAGGAAAATGCAAAATTATGCGGAGAATCTAAGTAAAACTAATAATAAAACTCAGGATTATTATTTGAAGGAACTAACCTTGCTTTCTGCCTACTTTGATCCTTTATCTATAAAACCAGAGGAAGTAGAAAATGTTACTAATTTTCTTAAAGAAGAAAATATTACTGCTCTCGTGTTAAACTTATCTCCTTCCTGTGAAACATTAATATTACGTTGTGCTATTAACCTATTAACCACCAATTGCTCCGAATTATTCACTTTAAGTATAAACCATAAAGGAAATTGTTGCATTTTGAAGAAGGAAAATCTCTCAGGAGAAATAAAACTCTTTCTAGACTCCTCAAATGAGGATGAATTTCCACAGGCTAGTAATTTTCCTGGCTTCAGTGCACACATTCCAAGTTGGTTGGGTAGAATTTCCATTAACCCTGGCGAAATGGCAGCTGTTGAAATAGAAGTTATGGAACTTCAGGGAAATCCACAACTAAAGCAATATTCCATACAAAAGCGAGGCTGTTATTTTCCCCAAGAGGGAGTTAGTAGGGAAAAGTGCCTTAATGAGTGCAGAATTAAAGCCAGCCTAATTAACTGCCAGTGTGTGTTGCCTTTTCCCATTCAATTAAGTCAAGCCCAGCAGAAATATTGCACTCTGGCAAACATATCCTGTCTACAGCTAGTGGAGGGTAAGTCTAGAGTTTGGCTTTTATTTCTCTCTTCAAGTTAATTTTATTTTCAATAAAAATTCAGAAAACTGGTCACCATCACAGTGCCCCAAATGCCTGCCTCTGTGCAATCAGTTGTTTTATAGGCTAACCAAACGAGTCCAAGGACGTCTGCATCCTTGGAGAAGTGAATTAAATATAAAATTCAAAACCCCACGAAGGCAGCTCTACAGTACAGATAACCTCTATCCCTGGTATCAGATGTTGTGTGAGTTTATTTATGGGCTTTGATTTATTTGATGTATTTTTATTTTCATTTTTTTCGTCCTCGAAAAGCAAACGTTGGCGGTGTCCTGGGCATCTGCATTGGCTGCTCTCTCATCAGCGGCTTCGAGCTGATCTACTTTATGGTTTTTCGCTTTTGGTCCAACTATCTGCGGCAGCCAGAGATTTAATTAAGCTAAATGTTGCACATACGCCGTGTGGGCCATGTTTTTGCTGTGATTTATTTCAGCGACAACGTGAGCAAGACAGCCACACATTAATCTTGATGACTTGAATTCTCAAACTGAGGGGAAATAAATGAAGGCAAAGGGAAAAGCAAAAGCTAAAGGAAAATAAGAAAAAAGTGGCAAAGAAAATCAGTGGAAAGGGGTTAAGGATACATACGTCGTGGGTGGGACTTAGTTGAAGTGTGTCGATCATCAAGGTTAAGTGGTCTGCTGAGCCTCTTTTTCATCGTCTCGGCTTGTTCGCAGTCGTCGCCTGGGGGGCCACTTGATGACTACTGAACGGGGGAAAAAAAGCAACAAGAAATTGTAAGGACACTAAAAAAAACAAGGTTTAATTTAAAAAAAAATTCAAGAAAAATATAAGAATTATGTAAAGGGTTTAAAGATTATTTAATGTGTATAATTAATAAATAAATATGTATTAAAAAGCTTGACTATTATTTCTTTCAAAAAATTATATTAAATAATGTTTTGAAAAAAGCACTTGAGAATTATAAGTAAATTATCGAGAATTCTAAGGTAACAATGTTTTTTCTTTATAACATTTACTCTAATTTTTAAACCGCTAAGAGTCCCTCGTTTTGTTAATTTAAAGGCGAAATATATACAATATTTCTTAAAAATGTCTCCCGAAAAAATTCTTAAGAATTATAAAGGCAGCCAAAATTTATTTAAAAGTGTGTTAGGTAAGACGTTAATTTACACTCTATAAATTATAAAAAATAAAATGGTGGCTTAAAAAATATAAAAATTTCTCTTTTTGAATTAGTATTATTATTATTATTTATATTTTTTATATTTTCTCCCAGTGTCTTTGTGTGAGTGTGAATACCTTTCCTAAGTGCACTTCAGCGTGCGTTTTTCCTGTATTGATTTTTTTTCTCACTCAAGCAACTTGTCAACTTTTGAATAATAAAATTCTTTTGCTTTCTTCTCTCATTGCAGGTGAGTTTTTCCAAGAAAATGGTGTCCCCCCTTTTACAACTGTGGCGTAAGTTCTCTAAGATTTAAATTTTTTTTTAAATACTTTGATAACAGAAAATGTTAATTTTATGTCAAGTAACAGAAAAAGCTTTGGAAAAGCTTGGGAAAGTGGGAAAACTAGCTAGGTACTGCAAGTAAACTCAGGGAAAAGCTTTGTCGGAAAAGCTTTTCCCTTTTTGGGGGCCTGACATTGTAGTAAAAAACATATAATTTGTATGGGGGAGGGACCTCCTCTCACTTATCACAAATCATGTTCAATCAATTGAAATGTAAGACAGAGAAGCTTCTTGAAATTGAAAAGCTGGTTAGAAAAACTCCAGCCATGAATTATCAAAAATAATCTGTGGTTCAAGCAACATAAAAATTGCAATCTAAGCAGGCAGCACACACACATTTAATAGCTTCAGACGAGGACAACGCCCATTTCGCAGGACAAGGCGAACAAGGAACGTCTCCATTAATTTTAAAACCGCCAACTTATCAGGGCAGCCCGCGTCATGCTCCTAAGTGATTTTCCTTAGCTCTCCGTTGATTTACGGAGGGAAAGTGCAGAAGCGGATATCTTTGCTCTATATATTACACACATAGAACGCAACCGAACGCAAGGACATGCGATGCGATGCCATGTCCTTCACCTTCCCATCCTGAAAAAAAAGAACAAAAAACCAAAAAATGAAGGGAGCTGCAGGAAAAAAAAATTTTATACATAAATATCTCCGAGCAGGAACCTTCGGCATTCCTTTTAAAGTATTCCGTATGCGGCGGCGGCGGCTGCTGCCTGGCCTGACATTATTATTTTTTATTCCTTTTATTTCCTCGTCGGCTGATGAGCCGCTGATCAAAGGCATTCCCATCGAAAAAGCCATCCTGGCTGGCTTTTCCAGGCAACAGTTTCGGGCGAAATTCAATTGGTCTGGCTTAATGTGTCACATTACCGTCAAATTCGAGTAGAATTCGAGTAGTTCGATTTAGTTCGGCAGCTAATTTAAGATATTTGATAGCTATTGAGTTTTTGGGGAGGCCTAGGAAAGGAAAATATATGTTCAGGGGGGTTTAATGCCTTTGAAATCACTTTAAGGAATGCTTAAAAGTATGCTATAAATATCTTAGTTGAGAATTTGAGGGTATCACCAAAGAAAGTGTGTGTTTAAGTGCCAAAAAAATCATTTGGGTTTTTAAGAACCCTGAAGAGGTGTTAAAAATTAGGGTTAATATTTTTAAACATTAAATTCAGTACCTTAAAAGAAGCTTTGAATACTTTTAGACACAATTTTAATGGTTTTAAAAACTTCAGTCTTTTTTTTTTAGCATTTCAGATGTGTTTCTCTTACTTAATTAATTTTTAATTACTAGACTTGGGGAAATGTAAGCTAATAATTATTTTAAAAAATCGTTACTTAAATATACATAAAAATATTTTAAATGAAATAACTTTGATTACTAGCTTAAATTATAGTAAAAACTCATAGAATTGTCTACTGTGGATTTAAACAATTTTAATTTCCTTTGAACTAGGTGTAAATACCCCAATAATTGTTTAATTTCATTTAAATTGGACTTTGTTTCCATTAGCAGCCCAAATATACTACAATTTCCCATTTCTTAAGTGTGTGTGTTTTAAGTAAAAACTTTTCTTTGGAAACTTGAAATGAAATTTGCTCGAATTAAACATGTTGAGCAGCTTAAACTTGTGTCTCTCAAATTGCCCCCAATTGTTCTCTGGTTTCGCAAACTCCGATCGGATGTTGGCCCCAAGGACATGGGCAGGTTTTCCCCCCTTCGGTTACTTCTTCCTCTCTCTCCTCAAGCCAACCAGAATCCTGCATCGATGTTGACTGTCTCATTTGCATAATTCTAATATGGAACATTTTTGGCCAGCTCCCTCAACTGTCCACCTACACAGGAACATATATACGTATATATAGTATATATACGTACACGTATTTGGCTTGGTTTTGGGGCCAGGAGATTTGCATAAATAAAACTGTAGTTGCTGCCTGCCTGCCTGCCTGCCCACTGTCCTTGTCCATTGCCTGTCAACGTAAATTACGGCCATTTGATTTCGGCAATTACAACGCATTTTTGTGCAACAATTTTGTGTGAGAGTGAGTGTGTGCCCAGCCTGCCTCTGATTTATACTTTTTTTGCTTTTACCCTTAGGCGAAGGTAGTGTAGACGCTCAAGAAAGGTATATCCAGGAAGCTATGATAATGTTTTTTTATAGGAATAAATTTATTCCTTGATTCTATTTATCTTTTTAAGATATTTATAGACTTTATTAGTTACAGAAAGTTTAGGCTAATGAGGGGAAATTACTCTGGAAATCACTCTTGAATCTTCTTGAATCTGTAACCTGTCTTTGCGTCAAGTAAAAAGTAAACACAGTCAGGGTATTACCACCTGCGGTTACCAAAAATCTCCCAACTATTCTTTATGGTATTTTTTTTGTTTCCTTTTTTGTTTGTGAATGTCCTTTTAGTGGGCCTGACTTTGTTTGGCAGAGCAATTTCAATTTAAGCTGCTCATTCAGCTTCGACATGTCGTTGAGCGAGTTAATTATGAGCTTATCCTTGGACTTGTCTGCAGTTGGCTATTTATTTATTGTCGCTGTCCTGTCTGCAGGACTTCCTCTCTGATTTTTCTTTCTTTTGTCTGCCATTGTTCGCTGCTGGCATTTTCCTGCAACCAAAGTCGTGGCAATTTGGCACACGTCCCACAAAAAAAACAAAAAAAAAATTAGGTAGACAACCTTGGCCATGAGAAGGACTTTCTATTTATCTACGAGTGTTCCTTTTGGGGGTATTTTTCTATCTTTTTTTCTATCTTGTTGTTATATGTGCATTTTTGCGGGCGGAAAATGAAAATGATTATCATTTGTTTTCGTTCAGTTTGGGCTAAAACCAAAACTGTCCAGAGCCAACAAGTTGTGGCAGCTCATAAAAATGAATTACGTGTGATGGGTCCCTAGCAAGGATTCTCTAGTTTATCTCTGGCTTTCTGGAGGATAACTTAAGATATGGGGAGTGGAAGGGGGAGCAAGGATATGGGGACAATTTTTGTGTTGTTTTGGTTCGTGGTTTAAAGGAATGCAAATTGAATTTGCTTGGGTAAATTTATTCATTGTAAATTTCGTAAAATATGCGGTTGATTTAAACCCCTTACAACAGGGGAAATTTATAAAATAATGTATTGAGATGAAGGATAAATGGATATGATGTTCAGGGATGAGTTAGGATTTTGTTTTAAATATTAAAAGATTTTTTTTTATTACTTTTAAAGTAAGAAATGTCAAGAAAATATTACTTAATGGGTAAATTGTTTATTAAATATTATTTATTATATGAAAAAATATAGGAAATTATATATAATAATTTGTATATATAATTTTTCATTTATTTAAATATATAATTACTTATCATTTCGATTCTAAAGCCATATTTTCATATAATAAATTTCTAAAATCATTTTCTTGAACTTAAAATATCATAAAAAAATCATAAATCCTTATTAACATGATTTTCCAATTTAAACAATACCAAAAGCACCTGTCCATTTCCATTTATGATTTGCAAAACATTTCAATTTCTCCTGTTAAGCCCTGTCGTCCCCCTTTCCAATTACAAAAAAATAACTCCAAATAATTTGCATCGATTTCTTGAAGAGGACTCTTCTCTTTTTTTTCTAACGACTATTTTGCCTGCATCAATTCCTTCTTTGCGATTTACATGATTTTCTTCTTTTTTTTCGCTGGATTTCCAATCCGCTTTCCTGTCTTTTTACCTCCACCCCAAACCATGCCTTTGACCATTGTGTAAGGAGGAGCAGGTGGAGGAGGTCTTATGCAAATGCTTTCAGGGACTCTGCTCTTCAATCGAAGGATTCCAGGGGGTTCTGCGTGTGCCGGCTGTCCTGTCCGTTCAATCAAAGTTGACATTGCCAGGCAGAGCCACATCCAGAAT